TACATTCTGGGTTGCACTGTAGCTTGAGTATGAGCGAAGTTACCCCCAAAAAGCGCGAGAGAGGAGACCAACGCGGCGAGCGGAAATCGTATATTGCGAGGTAATTGTGTGCTTCGAATCCTGAACCAGATGAGAGAAATCGGGACTAGGGTGCAGCAGTGAAATGAAGGACTACAGGATGAGTCAGATTGCGCAATTGCAGTGCGGACGAAAAGTGGGAGAGGAAATCAAACGGGGCGAAGTTGACCGAATATTGACGGGACTGGGAGAGGATGCGAGTCAAGGTGAGGGAGACAGAACGTCGAGTCCTGGACGAGAGATTCCCTTCCAACAAAGTAAAATAATCTGGGACAGGAAGGGAAGAAGGGAGGCACGGCCCGTCGACTAACGCGTCAAGATCGACGCAGAGACGTGGAAAAACATCCACCCAAAACAGGAATGGGAATGGTCCGCATCCCAGGGAAGAGAACAAATTGCAGAAGAGGTAACACCTAGGGGGATGCAATGAAACGGCGGGAGTTGCGGCATCGAGAAAGAGATGCTGGGTCGGAGCATGGGATCGCAAATGCGGACGATAAAGCTCGAGTGAGAAGAGGAGGGGAGGGGTACGTGGGATGATGGAGGGAGAAGGAAGGGTGTAGAATAAATCAAGACCAGGAAAGGTTGAAAGCAGGGGGGAAAGAGACATATCGTAGAATAAAAACGAAAGGAGAAAGGGGGATGTGACAAGCATAAAGATGCGCATCGGAGGACAAGAACGCGCCACGACGAAAGAAGAGACGGGCGTGAAGAAGATAACATCAAAGGAAAGGCGGGCAAAAACACCAACGCAGTGTTACACACCTTAATCGGGTCGGAAAGAAACAACGCAGGCAGCGCGCTCTGCAGCATTGCGCTGGGCTAATGTTTGAACGAAAACAGCCGCTTCCCACTGAACGAACAGCGATGTGACGGTCTCGACACATCCGAGCCCCGGAGAGAAGCTTACGGCGCCTGTAACAGGTTTTAGCTGACGACGAGCCCGGTGGCGGTGGAGGCGACTACTAGAGTCATCTTTAGAGGGCTCGGCACGGGCGTGGAGGGAAGAGCGTCGAGGTGCTGCTGTGGGTGGCGCGTTGGGCGGATGCCGCGCAGCGCGGTTGGGAGGATGGCGCGTAGCGCGCGAATGGTTTCCGCGAGGGGCGCGCATCCTTGAAGAAGCTCGATATTGCGCTGGGTGCCGTGAGCACCCGGAGTGCCCAACAAGGTGCGGGAGCACGCCGGGGTGGCGGCGAGTTAGGAGGACGGCACGCACCACGCGGGTGACTTCTGCAAGGAGGGTACGCACATTCTTGAGAAAGCTCCATATCGCGCTGGGCGCAGAAAGCGTCGCCGGCAGGAGCAGCGTCGCATCCGCGAGCAAATTGCCGGAGGGGCATGATCTTGCCCACAAACGCCGTCGCGGGCCGCGGTGGCTTCGAAGCGCGCGGCGAACACGTCGGCGTTCACCGTGGCTAGGCACAAGCTCAATCTGTGTTCTGCCTCGATAGTAGAAGCGAGGGAACCAGATAGGGAGTGCGTGCGCATATGTGCGCCAGCTGGGAGTGCACTGCGAAACCGCCCTGGAGATTGAGTTTTCATTTATGTTCGAGTCGACGAAGGAATACACGTTGCTGACTACATCGCTAGCATCCGCATCCTCCTGCGTCGTCCATGGGCCCTGCGCGCGTCGCGCCAGCGTCGCCATCAGCGTGCGCTGCGTGGCCACGATGCGGACGGTCTATCCGTACGGAAAGTAGCTTGATGCCGGGTGGAGGACGTTGGGAACCATCTTGTAGGCAGTGAGACTTGTGTGGTACGAGAAGGCCAGGAAACGAGAACGAGGACCAAGATGGTGGTGGATGAAGAGAAGAGAAAGTTGAGGCTGTTGTGCAGCGCTGTCCAGATGTTACAGTGCCAAATAAGCTGCGGCTTGCTCCCGACTTCCATCACCGTCTGCACCAAGGCTCCAAGACGATCCTCTAGGACTGTTTGAAGCACTCCTCCGACATCCATTTTTGGCTTGCGACACGGGCTAGAATTTTGTCGAAAAAAACACTGATCACAAACTCAATTCCGTTCTTCGCGCAATCTTCGCCTTTGGATCAAGTTTGGATTCAGTGGAATGTATACGCGACGAGACTGTGATCATGTACAACCCCCACCCCGAGACAAGCCTCCTCGGTGTCCAAAACATCAACTCTCCGTACCTGAGCGCCAATGTCCTCCTCTTAAATGGCTTCAAAAATCTCCCAGTCCTTCAGTCTGGTGAAAAACTCAACGAAAACAGCCTCTCAGACAATGCTACCAAGTAGCTCGCCGATGCGTTGAGCAACGCTCGGTCGCGTCCGGGAAGCATTTGTCTTGAGCCTCGGCAGAAGGAGACTTCCCCAGACCCGCCCGTTCGACTCGGGCTCGAGCCGTAGTTCGACAACTAGGAATCCTGTTTTATTGGGCAGCCCGCCGCAACTGTTGCGAGTCTACGGAATTCTCTGCTTGAATACCCGTCAGACCGATGGCTACAACCTGCATGCTCCGCAACATCCGCTAATCTTGAAGTGCCGCAACAGGCCGACTGAGGTTACACTTGAGCGGAAGGTCTGCCTCACTCCCAGGTATCAGGGGCTGAACGTGGGCGGAAGAGGCTTGCTAGCGTCCGAGACACACCTATTCGATACAGGGAGAAATCATTTCCGCAGATTCCGCCCGTTCCACTCATAGGTCGTTCGGACGCTCCTTTTTGTTGGAATATATTCGCAATGGCATTCCCTGCGAGATTCCCCGTCTAAAAATCTCAAAAACTAAAGAACTGTTCGTTGACGACAAAGGGCTGAGAAAACACTTGAGGAGGAAAAGGCCCCAATCCAAGTGCAGATCGCCGGGCTCGATAGTAGGTGCAGAAAGCTTGGTAGCGTCGGGGACGCGGCTGCCCAACATGTGGTACTGCCTGCAACTGTGCTTTCTGCAGAGCCCGCCCGTTCGACTCGGGCCCAAGCCATCGCGGAGATATCATCTAGCCACTTTTTGCTTCCTGATTGGCTTGCAAGGCAAGAAGTATAGTAAATTCCGTCCATCCTTCATTCTTCGGAAACTCACGGACACCACAGGGAATACAATGGGTTTAGGAAGGCTCGGTAGCATCTGGGACGCATCTGCTTCGAATCCGGCGAGAAAAAAAACTGTTCTGCAGATTCCGCCCGTCCGACTCGGGCCCGAGCCTTGTGCCGACATTCATGCATGCAGTTTTTCCTTTGGCTCGCAACGGATGCAGCGATGGCCTGCGATACTCGGCGGATGTTTCTCTCCTCATGCCATGTCGAAAGGCTCGCAAGGTGGGTTGACTCCCTGACTCATTCGCAGCCAGCTCGGTTGCGCTCGGGACGCGACTGTGTTCAGTAGCGATACGCCGAAAAACGTATCTACAGTGCCCGTTCGACTCGGGCCCGAGCCCAAAGCATGATAGAGGGTATCCCTTTTTTGTTCTTGATGCGGGACTAATGTTCTTCAGTCGTCGCGGCATCACCTGCAGTACAAATGGCATACACAACATCTCGCAATTATTCGGTCCCGCGTAGATAAAACAGCTTGGGCAGGGAGCGGAAGTTCCGATTCGGGGAAGCGATAAGCGGCGTCGAAACGAGGTGCACAAGGCTCGGTAGCGTCCGGGACGCATCTGCGTTGAATACTTCAGATGTGAACTCATTTCAGGGGCTATCGCCCGTTTGACTCGGGCCCGAACCATGGGGCATCGACTGAGTTCTTACTTTTAAATGCTGGGCAAGAGTCCCTATTAGAATCCCAGGGTACGAGTAGTGGGGACAATGTGTTAATACCGACCGGTGAAGAAGACAAAGATGTGTGGATCGAACTGGAAAAAAATCCAACATCTGTAATTTCCTTTTGAAGCACGTTGGCGAAACAGCCTTGAGAATACACCTGGACGAAAAGCTCGAATCCGAGCACGTATGTCCGTGAATGAGAGTAGATTAAAGAGGTTCGGTAGCGTCTGGGACGCGTCTGCGTTCAACTCATCAAGAACTGAAGAACGTTTCTGTAGACCCCGCCCGTTCGAATCGGGCCCGAGCCATGGGTAGAGTTTCTTCGAGAATACACACCTTTTTGCTTTCGTGGTGTACTCAAATGCACCTGTGATTGCGCTGCAACAGTCCCTGTATGAATCGCACTCGGGATAATCCATGCGATCCGAACTTCCGAAGATCTGTCTGATAAATCCAACCCAACTCAACATGCGGTACTTATTCGACACTGATCGTGTTGACATATAAGAATGGGGAAGGCTCGAATCCAAGAGCAGGGGAAGAAGGTTCGGTTGCGTTTGGGACACATCTGCGTTCAGTTGGGAAATGCAAGTACCCGTTCCGCAGATTCCGCACGCTCGACTCGGGCCCGAGCCATGAACAGCCTCCCGGTGTTTTTTGGGTGAGGTATTTGCCGCTCTTAGGCACCTGCTGCGACGGCAACAAGGTCGGCTGATCACAGAGTCGTCCGACTGAACGGCGTGGGTGGTCGTTACTGGAATAAAACTGCATCGAGCTGCATCTGAACCAGATCTGAAGGGGAAGTTGGTGGTAAGCAAAATGGAATGTAGGGTGAAATTTCGGAGAGGCTTCGTTGAATGCAGCAGCTAGATGGATATGAGATGCGCGCAAGATGCAGAAAGTTGGGCTCGGTACGCGTCTGCATTCAATAGACAAGGCAGATAAATATACCCGCCCGTTCGACTCGGGCCTGAGCCATGGCAGCATAGAGTGAGGTTTTTTGTTCTCTTGGGACCACTGAATTAAGACATTTGCACACAGTCGGCTGCAAGGCTGCTCATTGAGCGGCTTTTTACAATCTCGCCATTGCTTCCCTGACCCCTGGACACGAGTGACGAGTCACACCACAGCCTATTCCCCCGATCTCGCATTTGAGGGCCCCTTAGTTATTCCATAAAACACTGAAGATGGTCGAGGGGATATGGCTCGGTGGCGTCTGGCACTCATCTGCCTTAAATGGCATTGAACCAAGATATTTCTGCAGACCTCGCCCGTTCGACTCGGGCCCGAGCCATAGGATTGAGGGTGAATCTTTTGCCCGAGCCATTGGCGGGTCATTCTTTTTTGAGCGAGTGAGGAAGCATACGGGCAGGCGTCTACTCTTAAGCACCTGCCGCGGCGAGAACAAGGTAAGGTGATCACAGAGTCTTCCGACTTCAGGGCCTGAGTGGTTTGACCATTTGTTGCCGGAATAAAACTGCATCTGAAGGGGAAGTTGGCGGACAGCATCGAGAAAATGAGAGAATTTCGGGTAGAATTTCGCAGAGGCTTCGTCGAATGCAGCAGCGAGGTGAATACGAGATGAACGCAAGAGGCAGAATGTTAGCCGCTCAGCGAGCCGGCGCGGGCAATTTTGGCCGCACAACACAAAAATAGAACCACGTGATGGGTCCTCCGCTCCCATTGTAGCTGCATTGCTTTGAATTATTCGAGATAACCCCACCAATTGGCCAAAAGCCTCACCCCATATAACTCGCTGCGTATGACACCCGTTCCAGCCAAGATAAAATCCAACCAAGACGTTGAACCACGAAGCACGTGGCAGATCAACTGATCAAACAACCCATCAACAACTGATCAGCGCCGTATCCATCAATCTCTCTCACGTTGCCTTTCTCTTTCTCCTCCTCGTCGCCTGCCGTCTCCGCGCCCGCCGTCCCTGGGCTCGCTCTCTTTCCACACACGCTCGCTCTTTCGGACGTCCTTTCCCTCAGCCTTACTTCAGCAATTACTAGGTTACTTCCGCTGTACCCGATACCCCATAGACTTTAGAGACGAGACGAGACGAAGATGCACTTCCTCAGCGCACTGCTCCTCTGCGCCCCCGGAATCCTCGCCTCGAAGCCGCAACACCAACCGCACCGCCCCGCCCCCGCCGTGCCTCGGACGCACAACAACCTCGCTCTGCGTCTGCGAGGGCCTGTGAACGCCACTAGGGAGGTGGAGAAGAGGGACTCGTACACGGGCGTGGCGATGACCTGGTACCCGACGAATACGGGGCCCGACGCGTGCACGGGGAAGAACCATAAGGATAGCGATTGGGTGCGTCTGCCTCGTCCTTTTTCAAAAAAATTACATAATCCTGATATTGATGAAAACTATCCTGCGGTTAGTTTGTGGCGATGAACTACAACCAATACGGGACGGCTCGGCGTGCTGTGGGAAGCAGCTCCGGATAGATTATAATGGGAAGAGCACGGTTGCTACTTGTGTGGATGAGGTGCGTTTTCTTTGCCTCTCCCTTCTTCCTTCCGTTATCCCTTCTCCCCCCGCATCTCTCCTTCCACGTTCTACCCGGTTACTTCCTATCCATCTCTCGCTGTCGTTAATACCGATTTTGCGCGATGTCTCAACCTCATCTTGCTAATACATACCGTCTCGTGTCTCTCTCCTTTTCCCTTCACCTTCTCCCACTTTCCCTCCATCCCTGCATCCCTCTCCTCGCCATCCTCCACCCTCCCCTTGCCACCTGCCGACTCAGCGGGCTCCTGCCTTTCTATCCTTCTATGATCTCCTGCTCCCTCCTCCGCGTCCTCTTGCCATGATTAATACTAATAAAGCCCTCACACAGTGCGCATCCTGCGACACCTGGGGCTCCCTGGACCTAACGCAAGGCCTCTTCGAGTTCTTCGTCGGCGATCCGGGGATTGGCGAGTTCTACGGCTCTTGGTCGTTCGCCGACTCGTCGGACGATCCCACCACGACGACCAGCACGCAGAAGAAGACTACTACGACGCATACGAGTACGCCGACGCCAACTACGCATTCGACTACTTCTATGCACACAACGACGAGCAGCACGCATACTACGACGAGCAGCACGCACTCCAGCTCGAGTGTGCGGCCCAGTTCGAGCGCCCGCCCGAGTAGCAGTGCACCGAAGTCCAGCGCTCAGCCGAGCTCGAGTAGTGTGTCTGCGAGTGCGACGCCAACGAGTGTAGTGCCGCAGGGCGCCCAGAATTTGGCCAGTTTCAACGATGTCATGCTCAACCTTGTCGGTTTGGTCGTGCAGGCGGGAGCGGCGTAGTTATTCTTTCCTCGTTGGGCAGTGCGTATCTGGGTGCAAGTTCGACACGAGGACGTACGCTGACTTCTTGCGTACAGTTCTTCCGTCTCGTCTCGTCTCTATTCACCCACAAGCTACACGCTATCCGCAACTTCCTATTCTTATCCGTCCGTACGCATATCCACAAGCTATCCATTTTCTGTCGTTTGTTTTGTTTTCGCTCCCGCACCCGCCTAGTGCGGGCTATTCCCCCGTTCTCATATTCCTATTCCCACAATTTATTTGACATATCTTTCGCCACCTTATTCTCTACGGCGTTACCGTTTACTCGCATACACAGGGATTACATTTTGGCAATTCTGAGCGTAGGCTTGAGGTTCATCGGCTGGGTACGCTGCCTATGCATATATGCATAGTGGCCCTGTACATGAAGAAGGAAGCCATTGTGGATCGACGCTCCCTGCATACGCACGCAGCGAATCAACGCGATCGAGGGAGTCCGAGGTTCGATTCCTCGCGCTGTGGCATACAAGACGCATGAACGCTTTTTTTTTTGGCTCCTTTACGAATTTGCCGCGGGTTACCTATACAGTGTCGCTGCCCAGCTCAGAATCAAATCTGTCTTTCGGCGGAAGAGCGGAATGGTCAATGGCGGCCGAGGCGCGATTTCCCGTCCATTGTTTTGACCTGGCCTTTTTCTCGTTTATTAGTCCTGCCGACTCGACGATGAATGTACTGACCCTTTTCTACGTACGCATAATGAAGCCATTGTGGACCGAGGTGGTCACCCTCGCTGCATATTTCGTGGATCATCCAGGTTCCAATTGAAAGGGAGACGGAGGTTCGATTCCTTCCGGTGGTCATGATGGAAATTTGGGGTCAGCATTTTTTTCTATTCTTTTTGTTGGTTTCGACTCCTTCACGAATCAACCTCACACGTTCATGGATGTCTGGGAAATAGATGTCATTGAATTCAACCAATGCTTTGGCAGTGCTTTGAATCTTGGGTGGTTGGAAACGAGTCGGGCAATAACCGTTCATGGCAAGAGGTACCCGCCCAAGAAATTCTCGACATCGGGTCGAAAAAGTGAATTAAGGGTCCGCCCACCCCACCCCCCATTAGCCGAGGTCGCACGGTCACGTGTGTACACCAAATCGGGCAATTTGAGTGCAATTTGCTGCGAAAGTCGGGTCAAATCAAAATTTCAGGTCCGTTACTATCAGGATCCTCTCGCCCGAGATGGTTTTCCGGCTCAAATCTGGTGATCTCCTAACTCGTGTCAGGACAGGTCAGGACCCCCCAAAAATCTCATTTTTTTCATGACCCTTCCAAACACGTTTTTGAGAAGGTCCGAACAAATTCCAAAAAGTGAATTAAGACCGGCCGGAGACCCCCCACCCCATAAGGCGGTGTCTCGGCATTCTCCGGCGGGTACCTCTTGGTTCATGGATGTCTGACACAAATCCAACCAAGGCATTGTCGCTGCTCATCTTGGGTGGTTGGAAACGAGTGGAGAATTGTCTAAATTTACAACAGCGGTCTGCCACTTCAAGGGGTGTGTGTCTGGTTCACCCAATTCTCCAAGAGGTCTCTAGATCTCGGATCGTTCCCGCGATCAACAACACGTGCTCAATGGGGGTGCCAAAATATTGGCAAATATTTGGACGGCGCTCTCAACGCTCTCGAGGTGTCCTGAACATGTTGTAGATGCCTTAGGAGGCTGCATAGACCACTTAGAACTACATTCTGGGTATGTACACCATTGCAATAAATTTTGCGGCTCTATTTCACAAAACAGCCTGTGCTTCCGCATTTGGACGCATATCCGGGCATTGGGAGATTCAAGTGCCTGTGGTCAGAATAAAATTGTGTCTTTTGCTCAAATTATTCTAACAACAGTCTAATGTAAAGTCCTGGCATTATATCCAAGCTATCCATGTTCAGGACACCTCGAGAGCGTTGAGAGCGCCGTCCAAATATTTGCCAATATTTTGGCCCCCCATTGAGCACGTGTTGTTGATCGCGGGAACGATCCGAGATCAAGGGGGTGCCGGGCCGTGATTGCCGGACCGGTACCTGGGTGGTTGGTCTCCGCTGCCAGGCCGAAAAAAAAATCTGGGGACCACTATTTTTGCGGCTCCAGCAGGGTCAGAGATGGTCAAAAATGTCCCCTGCAGGCTTATAACTTCCCCCTGAGGCAGGAAAGTGAAGTACGACGGGTTGGGTACGATTCGGGCTTGATTGACAGTTGAACCTTGGTTGAATCAAAGTGGTCGACCCTTTCGAGTCATTTTAACTGTTGGAGGAAAATATTGTCCTAGGGGTGGGGGAGCATCTGGGATTGTTCCAAGCCGCCTTGTTTGTATTCTGACCAGTTTGAACAGTACTTGAGCCCAGAAACCCATGTTTTTGTCGACGAAAACGTGACCCGTGGGACGTAATTACCATATTTTGACGTCACGTGGTTGGTTGGTCTCCTTGGTCGGTCCGAAAATTCAAAAACTGGGTCCGGTTCCAAAATTCACAAAATTTTACACCCTTGTCCGAGATCTAGAGACCTCTTGCAATTCTCAGTCCTTCTGTATGCTGCCATAGATACTGAAAGCAAGTCATTGTGGTCCTTTGTGGACCACGGGGGTTCGATCCCTCCTCATGGCATAGCGTACCTGAAAGAGAAGTCTTTTTTCTTCTTTTGTTTGTTTTGTGGTTCACGTCTTGACCACTTAACACCGTACCTATCTTCCCGAATCTCTGCGGAAAGCGGAAAGTCTACCACATTAGTGTTTTTGTTTGTAATGCCCTGTCGTTTTTTTCCTTTGTTGTCTGGCATGCGGCCAAGTGGTCGACTCTCCTCTGAGCGACACACTGAGTGGACGCATCTTTCCAACAGTTTTCTTTTCTTTTTGAGTTGTTCAATCCGTTGTGTATAAGGGTTGAAGATGCTACATCGATGATCAGAAGGAATTGCTTGTTTTCCTCCTAAGCCATTGTTGACCACGGCGGTCGC